CACTGCCCCCCCACTGCCCCCCCACCCCCCCCACTGACCAACACCCCCCCACCCCCCCACTGACCAACACCCCACTGACCAACACCCCCACTGACCAACACCCCCACTGACCAACACCCCACTGACCAACACCCCCCCACTGACCAACACCCCCCCACTGACCAACACCCCACTGCCCCCCACTGCCCCCACCCCCCACTGACCAACACCCCCACTGACCCCCACCCCCCCACTGACCAACACCCCACTGACCCCCCACTGACCAACACACCCCCCACTGACCCCCCACTGCCCCCCCACTGACCAACCCCCCCCACTGACACCCCACTGACCAACACCCCCCCACTGACCAACACCCCCCCCACTGACCCCCCCACCCCTCCACTGACCAACACCCCCCCACTGACCCCCCACCCCCCACTGACCAACCCCCCCACTGACCCCCACCCCCCCACTGACCAACACCCCCACTGACCAAACCCCCACTGACCCCCCACCCCCCACTGACCAACACCCCCCCCACCCCCCCACTGACCAACACCCCCACTGCCCCCCCCCCCCCCACTGACCAACACCCCCCCACTGACCCCCACTGACCAACACCCCCCCCACTGACCCCCCACTGACCAACACCCCCCACCCCCCACTGACCAACACCCCACTGACCAACACCCCCACTGACCAACACCCCCACTGACCAACACCCCCCCCACTGACCAACACCCCCCCCACTGACCAACACCCCCCCACTGACCAACACCCCACTGACCCCCCACCCCCCCACTGACCAACACCCCCACTGACCCCCACCCACCCACTGAACCCCCCCACCCACCCACTGAACCCCCCATCCACTGACCCCCACCACCCACTGACCAACACCCCCACTGAACCCCACCCACCCACTGACCAACACCCCACCCACTGACCCCCCCACCCACCCACCGACCCCCCCACTGACCAACACCCCCACCCACTGACCAACCCCCCACCCACTGACCCCCTACTGACCATCCCCCACCCACTGACCCCTGCCACTGACCAACACCCCACCCACTGACCCCCACCCCCACTGACCAACACCCCCACCCACTGACCCCCCCCCACTGACCCCCCACCCCCCCCACCGATTTTGTGATGATGCAAAGTGATGATCCGTCTCAAACCATTATATAATAATAATAATCCTTTCATTCGCTTTGGCTCCTCGTTATGTCTTCGAGACTCTCAAAGCGCCTCACACTGTGCAGTGAGTTGACTGTATAGATTGTGGGCAAAACGCAGCAGCCAATTGCACTCAGTATATTCTGCGATTAGCTTTGAGACGTCTATAAGACGTGATAAGGCACTGTATCAAACACAACGATTATTATTATTATTTCATTCAGCACGACATGAGGTTGGACCTGCTAACATCACAGCAAAGCAACTCCCCCCCACCCCATTACAAGATGCCTTTTTAAGGGTTTATTCGGGTCACTTTACTGTGAACTGTACGGCCTTCTCTCGTTGTGTTTTCAGCCATCGGAGTGTGAGCAGTGCACGTGTGACATGGATGGGATTGCACGGTGTCTGGTTGCTGACTGTGCCCCACCGCCTTGTGTCAACCCGGTCTACGAGAAGGGGAAGTGTTGCCCAGAGTGCAAGGATGGTGAGCCACAGCTGCGACATTTACACGGCGCATTTCACGTCAGGAGGACCTCCCAAGGCGCTGGACGGTCAGGGGTGTGGCCCCGAGCTGGGGGCTGGGATCGGGAGGGGTGGAGGCCAGGGAGGGAGGGTTAGGCCGAAGGCAAGGGCGAAGAGGAAGGTCTCGAAGAGAAGGCGAGGGAGGGAGTGAGGCAAACGTAACAGTGCAGATGATCAAAATGGACAGACACGGAACATCCTTTTTCCCTCTGGTCATGGTCAGTTTGAGAAGCTTCTCCCGCTTTCCAAGTCGTTTGTCTCAACAGTTCTCGTGTGTTTAAAAAAAAATGATAATAATGCATCTCAAGGAGTGGCTCCAAACCCAACTCTGAACCAGAAGTTTTCCTCTGAAGCCACCAGTAAACTATTTGGGGAGGTTTTGTATGGACAAAATTGACCTTGCACAGATACAGCCTTGTGGAATCATCCTTAAAAACTGATTAAATTGGTGAAGTGGCTCTGATGTTTAGGAAGACAAATTTAGTTTTTTTTTACTGGGAGCGGCTATGGTTCTTACCAATCATACCCGGGCTCGATGGGAACGGGGCAGAGATCTATGACATAAGTAATAAAAATAATAATAACGATAATTATTATTATTAAGCAGATTAACTTGAACTTACATCCCTGAAATTGACCTCCACTGTGAACACCTAAATATCTTTGAAATGCACAACGCCTAGAACGTACATTGAGTATCCCCGGGAACCATAGTGATGGATTAGAGCACTCAAACTGGTAGATTTATTTAGCAAACGCAATATATTTTATGACACCGCTGAACCTCTGCATGTTTGTCACCTTCAGTTTGTTGTACTCTTGTCTGCTCTGTTCAATAAATCTCCAGTTTATTGACCAAAAAAAGTGAGAGACACAAAATTAACCGTTTTTACTGTTTGCTAAAGGTCCCAACTGTTACAGTGACTCCAGCCAGATCCAGGTGATCGCTGGAGGAACGACGGTGTGGATTGACAAATGCACCCATTGCCGTTGCCACGACGGGCAAGATGTTGGCTACTGGGAAGGTAACCGTGTGGCCAAGTGTGTGAGGATGAGGAACTGCACTCCAAGTGTCGGGCACCGTCAGTCACCGCATTGAGATCAGAGACTATTTCGATGCTTTCCCATCTTCTCGTCACTCTGAATCATACCACTGGCCCAAACAGTTGGCTCCTGTTATACACAACGAGCACCAAAACCTTATTCACAACTTAAGATCAATAATAGTGTTATGTACAATAAAAAGCCTTTTGCAGTCATGTCGGTTGTAGATTTTTGTACCTTGCACCCTCACATTTCATTCTTTTCCAGATCAAGTGCACCAAAGTGTTGATTTTCTGCTGGAGCTTTAATGGAATCGCATTGACGATAGGTACTGTAGAAAGTTTTGTGTCAGGTTTCCTGGATTGGAAGTGTGGCAGTAGTACTGTCGTGAAGATAACTGAAGGTGCAGTTACACGATACGATGCGCAGCAAATGATAGGTAAAAAAAAAGTTAAAATGAACCAAACCATTACTTAGCAGCATATGATGTATGTCATTTATTGGTGAGAAGTTGTGTGGAGTGGCATTATTTGCTTCGTGCCAAATATTTGCCACTATCTGCACTTTGGAATTCTCACGGTATAAAGTTTTTTTCAATCTAAATTGCAAGTGGATCAGGTTTATGGATTGAGAAGAGGGATAGATGCGTAACTGCAATATACGGACATGTGTTAATGTATAATATGTACCCAGTTTAGCCACAGTTATGTCCGTTAACTAAAGGTATCCAGACAGATAAGCTCATTGATTAAAGCGTTTCCTATAAGTTGATCCGGCTTTTAAAACCCACCGTCACCAAGTTGCTCATCACAATCTTACTCACTCAGACTTGCTTGTTTTGAGACGTTTTGTATCCAACTGAACCTCACTGTATGTATCCCCTGTGCGTTCAATCGTTTTAGGGAATTCACCTATTTTTCAACATTTTGAGCAACAGCATATTAATCTCATGCACAATAAATCATGTTACCAGCGTAGAAAGGTTTAAAATGTTTATTGTATACAAAAGAATTACTTTGATGTGCGTACACATATATAGTGTATTTAAAGTTATAAGAATCCAAATAATATACAAAAACATGACCAAATTAGTTCAGTCCACAGCATATGCAAATAAAGTCTGTCACCCAGCACCATAGAACATAGTGGAGGATGGGATAGGTTGTACAAAAATGACTGATTTTATTTCCTGGTCAAGTAATTCATTCCCTGTATTCAACTGTATATATATATATATATTAAAAAAACAAAGAACAGAAAGATTCACTTTAAATGATAGTGATTTTTTCCATTGTGTCCAGTATTAATGACAACAGGCAGTGAGCTCCCATGGGGGCTGTATGGTTATTAGATTTAATCTCTGGCGCTAAGCAATTAAGTCAACAAGTTTCTTCCTACATTCCAAACACACAAACAGCTGAAACCAGGCTAATGACTGATACCAACAACATTTTTNATAGCAAAGGAGATGATTCAACTTAATAATAATAATAATTTGGTCACTCACTCCTCGACTGTGTGTGGGACGCTGCTGTGCGCAATTGGCTGCTGCGTTTCACCCTCAAAATATACAGTCAATTCACTTTACAGTATATTCTGTGAAGCGCTTTGAGACGTCTCGAAGACGTGATCAGGCGCTGTGCCAAATGCAAGGATTATTATTATTAACCTTTGTCAAAGCAAAGTTGATCACCAAAATAGAAAAGGACACCAGTTTATGTTAAAGGTGGTATCAAGATGGCTCAATTCCTGGGAAAGCCATGTTCAAAGTCCACTCAATTGGGTCCACTGGAAAAGTTCACGTTGCAATGACGTTTCCAATGATGTTCAGATTTTGTTTCCAACAAAAAACTTTCAATAATTTACAACAGTGGAAATGATTGGGAACATGAGCTCAGAGAAGATGAGCTCTCAGCTCTCAGCTAATCCCATCATTGCTTCGTCTTTTGTGCACAAACTTTCTCACAATAACAAGCATTAAACTGTTCACTACCGAACTGTTTCCATTGCAAAGTAGGTAAAATCTTGCAAACCCTCTAACAGAGAGCTGGATTTTACATTGTGGTATAGAAAACATTTTTGTTGTAGCTTTCAATAGTATTTCATATTCTGTTGTAACCTGTTGATAACATGAAGGAATATGTCCCAAAACACTCCTATCTGTACAAAACATTGAACAGGACTTATCTATTGCAAGATCTGCAATTCATAAACTAGAAGTCAATTCAGACGCCTAGACCCAGTTTACATGAATTTAATATTACATTCAAGGAATTAATGTGGGCTAAAACTGTTGTAGTGTTAATATTTGTTCAACATGCTTCGGAAATATAATGCTCTACAAACTACCCTGACAATGTCTAGCAATGAAGGAGACTTGACTTGAGCTCAGAAGAAGAGGGAAGGTGATCAAATCAGATTGTGTTACTTTACACAGAGGACAGGGAGTGAAGGTGTGCATTTGACTCTTTTTGAATGGCTGTAACTGATATTTATCATGAACTGAAAACAGGTGCAGGAAACTATAGGGTGTAGAGGAGGGAGGGAGAGAAATTGACAACTGGTTTGGGGTTTGTCTGTGGAATTATGACATCTTCTCATTGCAGGTGCGCTTTGAGACGTCTTGAAGACGTGATAAGGCGCTATATGAAATGCAAAGATTATTATCATTATGGGTGTGAACAAGCTGGGATTCACGTATACCTCTATAATGTTTTAGAAAGTGTGATATTTATATGAAGGCCCAAGGCATATAGTGCAGTGCATTTTGCCAACATTTTTGTGAAAAGTAGCAGAAAAATAAGATGAGCCAAGAAAAGCTATCCCGTTGTTTTCCATTATTCGTTCTATAAATAATTGGTTGTTAACACGTTGTTCATATCCATTGTTTTACAGCTAATAAAGCACAAAAGGAGGGAGAGAAATTCATCCATTCGAAGCATAATGTCTCCTCCACAATTCTAGAAATATTGGTTTACTAGCTGATAGGAAATCTGTTCTCCCATCAATTCTACGAGTTCTGTATTCACCTTGTCTGAAGATGAATTATAAGGCAGAACCAGATAGGACTGATTCTATTGCTGTTACCTGGTGTGTAAAGTATATGTGCAGGAGATGACACTGAGGCTCGCACCGATCATACAGTTCCAGATATGAAATGGATTGACTGCCATGCAATCAAAAATCTTAAAATCGTAACATGATAATACGTTGCCTGAAATCAAAGCATTATCCAACTATATACATTCTGTAGAACCTTGGATGGTTTAGATTTGTGTATTGAACCAATTGATCAGAACCAACAAAATCCAGTTTGCTGTTTGGCTAGTTTGAATCCAAAATAACAACAGTTTCTTTGCACCAAGTTACCAAGCAAAACATGCCTGACATGTACAGTATCAGATGAGTGAATGAACTGCTTTAACCTAGTGAGCGCTCTGTACATACAGGAGCCAACAGTGAAACAAGCCATACAGTCCCAGACAGGAATGAAATGCGTACTGTACGTCCACACCGTTTAGAGATCACTGAAACACACGTACGCACGGTATTGTTTATGCGTCAATCTCCTACCTTTTCTGCTGAATACAAGTATACAAATATTTACGTAGATGCCATTAAAGTGACATCTTTCAAAGTTTAAGGAAATTCACGTGATTCCAGAAATGAAATCACTTTAATTCAAAACATCATCAATGCACACTGGTATACAATAGGATGGTTAGGATACTTTTGTCACCTTGACAAAAGGAATGTGGTAACTCAATCCACGGCTGTTTGTGGGACGCTGCTGTACGCAATTGGCTGCTGCGTTTCGCCCACAAAATACACAATCACTGCATTTTACAATATATTCTGTGAAGCGCGCATATGTTCTCAGGTCCAGCCACATGACAAAGTCAAGATCAAGTTCAAAGTGGAACCATTAACAGAGAGGATAATAAAACCATCAGTTACCTTTGCACGAGTCAATTTCATGCCAGGGTATAGATAACCCACCTGACTACTTTGAACCAAAAGCATGATTCAGGGAAACCTTAGAGAAAACATCCGAGGAGAAGTATATATATATATATACCTTTTTAATATATACACACCTTTCAGATTTATAAAAACCTGGAAAAAAACATTGCCATTTATATTCTTCCCGAAATGTTATCTTTAATGAAGAAGCAATGAACTTGGACGGACTTTGCTATAAAACTGTATGTTTCCAAACGATAAGCGTTTCTTTGAAATTTTGAATAAAATATAGAAAAGTACCCTCGCATCAGCCAATGCTAAATATATATACATTTGTACCCTACTTTTTGATAGTATTCTCTTCGGAGATCTGCCATTTTCCGGGGGTAATAATCCCTTACAAAAAAGTGATCACTTAATCCATGACAATTTGTGGGACGCTGCTGTGCGCAATTGGCTGCCGCATTTCGCCCACAAAACATGTAGTCAATCCATTTTACATATATTCTGTGAAGCGATTTGACACGTCTCGAAGACGTGATAAGGCGCTATAACAAATGCAAGGATTATTACTATTATTATTTACTCCCTCTTACTGGGATCCAGCCAAAAGCATCATCAATACAAATCATATTCAGAAGTACAATCTGGATTTAATATGGTGGAACCCGCTCATATTCTAGACAAATTGGGAAGAGTAGAAGGAACCAATCTAGAACATGAGCGAGGTCATCAAGTTCATCTGAATTTCAGAATAAGATTTTGAACGTTCAAAGGGGAGTAGAATGATCCATTATGATAGGATCTCTGCTCAACCTCACACCCTCCGCACACAGACAGCATAGCATCACAGCATCTGACCGCACAAAGTACACTTGTGGGGAGTTCTGACAAAGTATGTCAGTTTCGTTTGTTCCGAGGTAGAAAACTTCCTAAATCCAGCCTTGGCTTACAGTGGAATTTGATTATCTGCCATAATAGAAAGTGACCCTGCTGGATAATCAAAGTTCTCCAGAGTCGCTTGCTGTCTGCTCCATAGACAAGTGTCAGGTGTCATTATAACATCTGGAAAGCTGCAGGAGCCTTTAGTCGGGGAAGAAAGTATTGAAGCAGTATGTGAGCAGGAGGGCGAGGCAGCGTTAAGATAATGAGTGAAAGGCTGGCGATGGGGGGGGAGGGGGGGATCATGTTGTACTGGAAGCAGGAGCTCAATCTTAGGGTTGAATTTCAGGAGGAGAGATTTCCACCTTCCTGTTTATGGTGGATAATTGGAAAAGCACCTAATCGGGGTTTCATTAAATGGTCATTTCCTAACAGATTTATTAGAGAGTTTAACATGTTCTTAATCGAAGGAGGATTTGTTTTGGCTTCTGTGCATTGATCGGAAAGGGTTTTGTGGAATTCAAAGAATTCAGTGTTCAATACAACAACAAAAACAACAACAACGTGTGTTTATATAGGGCCCTTCACACAGGGTAACGTGCCAGAGAACTTGACAATGTGGAGACTGACACAACTCAAACCTGACTGGAAACCCAACTTAAACCAAAAGACCACTCGGCCAAACACTATCTTCTATGTTATATGCTTTCAGGTATCAATATTTAGTATAATCTGGTAAATTAACTTTTTTTAAAAAAAATTGTGAAATCTCCCTCTACCTACACAAAATAAGTAGTTTAAACACCAACCTCATAGAATTCCCCCCCACCCGACCCCCCACCCCGACAGCACCGCATAACATTCCCACTTCCCACCTCAGCTTCCTCTAACTGAAACGACCAGTTTAGGTAAAGTTTTGTGCTGTGGATTAATTCCCAAACTATTTCACGTAATCCATTTGCAACAGAAGAGGGAGACATTCATTCCATCAATTCAGGTTGAAATCGAACACAAGTCCCCAAGGATATTTATGTTCATACAGACACCATACAATCACAGCAGCAACAAATATATTATTCTTTGATATATAACTGTATTAGACATCTACTTTTGCTGGTCTTTTGTATTTGAAAACATCTATGTGGGCATAAATCTAGTGGAGAGAGCAATTTTATTTTTCTACTGGGAATTAATTAAAATCTTCAAGATCTGAATTTGGGGAATAAGAAGGCTTCTGCAAAATTCCCGGTGTAATTCGACCAGATTATGAGGCCAATTTATTCATTTGACCTCACTCAAAAAGAAAAAAAAAATTACAAGACTACAAATTTCTTTCTATTTATTCAGAGAACTCCGTGAATCCAGACAGATTTTTTTCTTTCCTGGTATTTCTGTTTCATTTTCCGTCATGTTTTTTTTTTTTCTTTTTTTTTATATAGAACTTTATAACATTCAATATTAGAAATGTACAGGAAAGACCTTCTGTTATAGGATAGAAAACATGAGCATATAGTGGTTCTGAAAGATGCAAGAGGCATTCGGCACTCAAAGAATTAAACCAGTTGTGACCTTCAGTGACCTTGCAGACGGGTAGTGATACAGTATAAGATCCTTGTCAGCAACAAAAAGGAAAATCTCATCCAAAATTCTGCCATAATAATCTTTTCAGTGCAGCAGATCCAAAACAGAGCAAATCTTTTCTTCAGTGAAATGAAGCCATCTTTAATTAGCCCAAGCGATTTGTGAAGAGTACCGAAGAGTTAGTGTAGAACTTCATTTTCCGACTGATTTCACACACACACACAAAAAAAACTCTTAAAAGGAATAAATCTTCCCAGATCAGTTTGTCCTCCTCCTGCTTGTCTCTCCCCCCCCCCCCCACCCCCACCCCCACACCGCTTTACATCTCTCAACTGCAGGAGACGGGATCGTAGCAGTTTTACGGAGAGGATTTTCCCCCCTTTTTCACACGCTGTGTTCGTTTTTTTTTAAAAAAAATTAGTCAGCATAATTCTTTGGAGAGTCAGGAAGAAAATGAGAGAGAAAGCGGCTGCCCTCTGCCAGCCAGACAGAAACCACAGAGGGCGATGGGAGTCGTGTCGGCAGGAGAAGCGTGTGGTCTGCTATCCTCTCGGAGGCCGGTGTGGGGGAGTGCCAATGTCCACTGTGATGTTCGTGTACAATGGGAACCTGCTCACATTCAGCAGCTGGTACTTCAAGGAGTTGATCCCATCTCGCAGCATGTTGATCTTCGTGTTCTGGATTTTTGTAAACCTGAAAAGTAAATGCGTGGGTTTTTTTTTTTTCCGTATAAATCATTGGATAATCGATCAACAACAACACACGACATTTACACAATGACACACGACATTTACACAATGACACACGACATTTTGTGGAGTCCTGTAGCTCAGTGGTTAGAGCACTCGCTTTGCAAGTGAGAGACCTGAGTTCAATTCCAGGCAGAGGGCGAAACCTTGGGCAAGTTTCCTTACTCCACACAGAGCCTAATAATAATCCTCCAAAACCCAAAACAATAATAAATTGGTCATTTTCAATCTACAACTGTTTGTGGGACATTGCTGTGCGCAATTGGCTGCCGAGTTCGCCCACAAATATACAGTCAATTCACTTTACAGTGTGTTCTGTGAAGCGCTTTGGGACGTCCTCCCGACGTGAAAAGCGCTATATCAAATGCAAGGATTATTATTATTATTATTATTTACACGGCCCCTTTCACACCGGGAGGACGTCCCAAGGCACTGGACAGTCAGGGATTTGGACCTGAGCTGGGGGTTGGGATCAGGATGGGGTGGAGGGCGGGGAGGGTGGGGTAGGAGGGTGGCCGAATGCACAGTCGAAGAGGAGGGTCCTGTGATGGGCCTTGAAGGAGGTGAGAGAGGGAGCGAGGCCGAGGGACTGAAGCCCACAAAACATACAGTTAATTTGCTTTACAGTCTGTGAATCGCTTTGAGATGTCTCGAAGATGTGATAAGGCACTGTATCAAATGCAAGGATTTTATTATTGTTATTATTATTATTGTTATTATTATGTATTCCAAAATGAAACAGCCCGCAGCAACATTCAGAAACCGATACATTTCATGTGTCCGGATATCTATCACTCTCTTTCACCTCTAAAGGATCGCTTTCAACTGCTGTTTGATCTGCCAGATGGAAATCGACGACAACCTGATCAGGTTCCGTATGGATATACACCAATAAAGGCACTTGACCACGGTCGTTATTGTGAAATTGAATTTGATGACAGCTGCACTTCCTACATAAGTATGGATTAAATAGAATTAGAGAACAATTGTCAAATTTAACAGCTGTGACATTAACAGGGTTGATTGACTCTATTTTTCCATCAGTTATCAAGTGGAAGTCCATTTCTGCTTTGTGCATTTCCTATATATCCTGCAAGAGGCACTGAGCGTGTTACTTGATTACTTTGTATGGAGAGGAATGTCTTTGAGGGTTTGCTATTTTGGCGCAGACAATTTCACCATTACCTCAGATACAGCCAGTAACCAAGTTAGTATATCGCATGGAATGCTGCAGTCAGTACCTGGAGAACTGCAAATCCAATCAGTCAGTCTTATTTACTAAACTAGGCAATGTTTAAAATAATAATTTGGTCACTCAGCCCACGGCTGTTTGTTCCTCGGCAGTCAATTGCGCAAAAAAATAAACAAATGATAAACGGACTGAGGATGGAGGAGAAATGCACTGATGTGACTCACTTATACAGTCAGACATGGATTGTAAATTTTCATCCACAAAATACACAGTCAATTCACTTTGCAGTATATACTGTGAGGCGCTTTGAGACGTCTCAATGACATGATAAGGCGCTATATCAAATGCAAGGCTTATTAATATTATTACTTAATGGTGCATTTCTTTTTTGTATGTATGTGTGTCACACAACCAGAGGCAGGAGGTGATGTCAGGGACAGTGATACCTTCACATGAAGTACAATGGTGTAACTCAATGTAAAATCCTGGCGATCTAATGGCATTTGCAAAGCTGCAGATCATGTCAACAGAAACATCTTGATATTGTAGTAAGCATCATAACCTCTTTTGCCAATTCTCAAAGTAACATATGGAAAAGATATTACTCCAGCAAATATTCTATATTTTCCGACCCACACGTATTATCAATTCGACATAAGTTTCAGTAGGAATTTGTGGTGGAAAGGAATAAATATTTCCTATTTAATAGGAAAACTGAAACACATTGTTGCTGGTGGCCAGAATCTAACTATTGATGATACTAATGAGTCACTGTGAAGCAACAATCTGCTGCCAGATTCCATTCTGACTACTTGCCAAAGTGCTTCCCTGTCAATATCGTGGGAACATCATCTGCCCTGAGAGCAACACAGTGCTGTGTTTGTTACTTTAACGAGGAAGGTGAACTAGATGGACCTTGGTCTTTTTTTCGTCTCGCATTTCTTATTGCTTTACACTGTTTTAATGACTACATTTTCAACTGAATTAGATCCCCCAAAATCACTTTGAAGAGCAGTGATGAGAAACAGCTGAGTTCAAATCCCTGTGATGCTCATTTTGGTGTTTGCCACTGGAATAATCTATACAGCTCATTGAACTCAAAATCTATTATTTTGTAATACAGTCTTTTGAGTTACTCCTACTATTTTATAGTGGGCAGTGTTTTTTTTATATAAACACAGTGATTTTAGCCAAATACAACTAGTGGCAGTTGGATCTTGCTCCAGTTGAGTTCTCCCCTCTCATGTGTAATGAATAAACTGCTCATTTCCTAGAGATGTATTAAAGTCCACACATGCATTGAGCATCACTACTCCATTTTCTGTCTTCCAACACTCAGCACAGTGAACATCTTTTGCATGTACAAGCCGGAAGGTTAGAAGATTCAGTAACAGAATTTCATGTAACATGAGGAAGCTACGATAGTTCAGTCTGATTAGGATCAGCTATCATCCCGAATTATTTATTTCATTTCATGCGTATAAGCCCTTTAGCAGTAAAAAAACTAATTTAACAAGACACCAAATTCCTTCCTGATTTCATTGACTGATAGGTGCTATCTCTCAGATATATATATATCTACAAACAAAAGCAAAGTTGATGCTAAACAAAGGTCATTCAGCCTGTCAAAGTTTGTCTCTTTAGAAAATAATAGGATATAACTGAGGAGAAATATCTATCTATTCCATTAAAGGATATTGATGGGATAGATGTCCATTTTCCTCAGTGGGATATTACAGGTCGGAAGATTACTTTCTCTCTAAACCCAGATTGGCCGTTTAGACAATTACTTTGTGTTTCATTCATTTCCTAAATTCCAAGTGAAATTTGGTCTCTTCTCTTTGTGAATAGCGTGAAAAGTCAGAAATAAGAAGCCGTCACCATTGTTTTAAATCACCTGGTTGGACAAAACGTCAACATTCCCATCCCAAGGCCAGCGAGTTAACCTGACAATATACTTCTGCCCTGGTCCACTAAAGCCATCACAGGCACAACTCCTAAACTGTGCTGCTAAAATATACGCCAAACTTCCTGCTGAGTCACTGCGGCTCCGTGGCAGATGGAGCCATCACTTGAGCAAAGCTCAAGATCTTTTCATATCTACCACCTCCTACTCGCAAAGACAAGTTGTGCTTAAAAAAANCTCTGCCACCCTTTCACCTCTGGATACAATTTTTTTAAAAAAAACCCTACAAAATGACAAGTACCAGACAGTAACAGAGGGGGAAAAAAATCAACTAAGATGACATGGTGGAATTGACAATATTCACGAAGGTTAGCTAATCATCTCAAGCTGTGCAACAGAGCATCTCCGCTCGCTGCCTGATTAGATCCCTTAACACAAGAATGAGCGTCAACACTCCATTAAGCCGATAACCGCCAGGCACGAAAAATCATGTTCCTGTGATTGCAGAAATACTGTAACTGTGCATCGTTTCTCATTGTACAGGCAGGTGACAGCAGAATGCATTAGTGTCATCCCGAGGTGGCTTTTCAAGATAAGCAAGAGAGCCACGGCCCATCTGAAATCTCATTTATCAACACTAATTTCAGGAAGTGGCTTCACATCTCATTAGACTCTCCAGATACTTGGAGACCTCTGCTCCCTTGAAGAGAATTCCCCAGAAGCTGTCGCAAACACTTTGTCTCGTTCTCTCTCTCACTCTCTCTCTCTGTGCAAGTAACCAATGCTGTTTGTTCCACTAATTGCTGCATTTGCTGATTGACGTGGCAGAGTGGAATAATTCATTGGGAATATCTTATGCAGAGGAGTCAATTGCCTTCATTATAGAGCAGTTCTTGGACCAGTTCTGCAGCCACCGAGATTCTCATTGCACAGGTTCTAGAAATGCAATAAATCTTCCCGTGCCTCAACCCTGCAGATGTAAGCCTGAGCTCTTCTTAAGCTGTGGATTTACATTGATGGTGCCCCATTTAAACACTCTTTGTGAGAGAAGACAGTTAAACAGCTTTACAATTTGGGGGGGGTTCTGACAACAAGTAAATTCAACCTGGTGTTACAGATATAAGCATACGTGGGAATACAAACGGTCCAGAGTTAGTTATAACTCATCTGATTACTATCGCGGAGACTAGACACCCATTACGTTAAGATTCACCATCCACAACTCGCTTCTGATAAAGCATTCGGAGGAAGAATTTAAAAACATTTAGATGGCCACCTTGGTGTAGAAAGTTGTTTGAGATCCGACATTTTGGTGAGGATTTGGAACATTTCTGAACTCCATAATATATAATAATAATAATAATATTTATGGTGGAAATTCAAATCTCGAGGCACAGTGTTGAACACCTTTGCTTTCCTTCCCTTCCTGTTGAGAGGCAGCTTACCTCCATATTATCCACCTTTTGTTCAAGGGCATTAAAACCTGTGACTTGCGGTGGCTGTTTTCTACCAATCTACGATACAGGGCCACGTTAGATCTGAATGCTGGAGTGTGCCACCGTCTGCCAAACATGCACACTGGAGCTTTAGAGGGAACCGGCAAAGATCTCAATAAGAAACTCACCTCTGGGGGTTAGGTTCGTTGTGCTTGTCTCGTTCATGTTTTATCATCCGATATTTTCCAATTCTGGAATCGGGTCGGTTGACTTTCATACCTCTTAGTGTTATTCTGAAGAATAATAACAAAATTAAAAAAAACCATGTCACAGAAAGTAGGCAGAGAAATTCTTCAGGAATATATTATATATGCACACCTATATATAATACGTGTTATATATAATATGTAGAGGATTTTCTGGTCAGTGAATATAATTTATTTTTCAAGAGGTTTTCAGGAACGACGTTACAATAATTACCCTTTTTAACAGCCATGACAAGGATGACGAGAGAGAGAGCTGTATTTATACTGACAGTCAGACACAGCTGGTCTCAACACTGAATACTGAATTACAAGAAGCAACTTTCTATTCTTTGTGGATATAAACAATCCATTAGCTGATATGAACAAGCAGCAATAACAATAATAATTCTTGCATTTGATATAGCGCCTTAGGGATATCGTAAAGCGCTTCACGGAATATACTGTCAATATACTGTCAAGTGAATTGACTGTATAATACCTAAAAAAAATGCTGTCACTCAATCCAGTACTGTTTTCGGGGCACTGCTGTGCTTAATTGACTGCCGCGTTTTGCCCACAAAATACAGTCGATTCAAATTCAAATGACAGTATATGCTGTGAAGCACTTGGAGACTTCTCGAGAAGAAGTGATAAGGCGCTGTAACAAGTCAAGAATTATTATTATTAGAGAATGGCGCTAAATTCTGTTCTGTGCAGGCATTCCATATGACGTATGGGTACAGTCAAGATCACTCTCCACTTTTGAGAATCCAGCAATTTGTGCAGAGCTTCCTAACAGCCATTGCTGTCAGCTTTTTCCAGGAGTGTGTATAGTGAGGCTATTGTGAAGATAGCCTCTTCCTGATCATTTGCAACACCAAAACGTAACATACATCCAACCTGTCTCCTGTAGGTACCTCCCCGAGGCCTAGAAATGATGGGTTATAACCATCACAGCCACAAGTATACTGAATGGTTGATTATGTCTCCATCTCCACACAGTAAACAGCTTATCTTCATTTCAGCTTCCCTTGGGAGCTGCAGACTCATGAAGAACCCATCTTCCATCAGGCCAAGTAAGGTACAATGATCTGTTTCAGTGCCTCAGGTGACGTTGGCTTATATGTTAAGCAGTTTGTGTGAATCCCCCGCCACCCCTTTCCTCTCTGCTATGAAATAACCTACAGAAGGTGCGATAACCATGTCATTCCAGATAGAAAACTAGGCGACATGACAAAATATTCGCCAGAATCAGAGTCCGATTCAGGATGAAGGGGTTCTATTTATAAACACAGGGTGACCAAAATGTTGTGACACCTACCCTTGTATCTAAAAATATATATGTACCTATATCAACATTTCTTTAAGAGATTTTAGACATTGTAATGGTATCACGACTTTTCGGATCGGTTTTCGGGGGTAATAATCCCTCCAAAAATAATAATTTGGTCACTCTGTTTGTGGGACACTGTTGTGTGCACAATTGGCTGCCGTGTTTCGGCCACAAAATACACAGGCACTAACTACACTTTACAGTATAATCTGTGAAGCACTTTGTGACGTCTCGAAGATGTGATAAGGGGCTGTATTAAATGCAAGGATTATTATTTATTATTATAGTTATTACTGTTGTTGTTATTATAATTGCAAAATGGTGAGAAATTGTCACCAACTCATTAGGAGATAAGTGTTCTTGCCTCTACTCGGGAAATATCACCTCAGTAAGATGAATTACTATGATAACAATGGCAATGTCTGAAATCTTGTGATACATCTCATTATCTTTTCCTATCTGTCGTGTGGGTGGATTAGAAAGCTGGAGTCTGGAGAAATGTAATTACTTTCAAATTATGCTTTAATTCCTATTGTGGCAGTTTGAAAAGTTGTGCAAGCTGCATTGATTGCCCTTTGAGAACTTTACTGTGTCAAAAATGCGAACGACTAATTTAAACTGTTTAAATTATTTCACGGTTTCTCACTCAGAAATAAATTCACGGTTTCTCACTTATAAATCAAGTTTTGGTACACTGGGAGCCAGGCTCACGTGTATTCTGCGATTAAAGTGTCAGCCAAGGGATGAATATGAAACATTAAAGTGTGCTTGTGCCGAGCTGTTTTTGTGTCACATTCAATATTGTGACTTAGAGAAACAGTGACTGAGAGAATCAGTTCCATGTTGAAAGTGAAGCTGGGATTATTCCCCTTGGAGCAGAGAAGGTTAAGGGGAGACTTAATAGAAGTTTTCAAAATTATGAGGGGATTTGATAGTGTGAACAAGGAGAAGCTATTCCCACTGGCGGGAGGGTCAGTAACCCGAGGGCACCGAGTTAAAATAGTTGCCAAAAGAACCGGAGGGGAGGAGAAATGTTTTTACACAGAGAGTTGTTGGGATCTGGGATGCACTGCCTGAAAGGCCGGTGGGAACCGATTCGATAACAACTTTTAAGAGAGAAGTAGATCATTATTTGGGGAGGACAAGTTTGCAGCTCTATGGGGAGAGAGAGGGGGAGTGGGGTTGATCAGGGCTATGGGGAGAGAGTGGGGGAGTGGGGTTGATCAGGGCTATGGGGAGAGAGAGGGGGAGTGGGGTTGATCAGGGCTATGGGGAGAGAGTGGGGTTGATCAGGGCTATGGGGAGAGAGGGAGTGGGGTTGATCAGGGCTATGGGAGAGAGTGGGGGAGTGGGGTTGATCAGGGCTATAGGGAGGGAGTGGGGTTGATCAGGGCTATAGGGAGGGAGTGGGGTTGATCAGGGCTATGGGGAGAGAGAGGGGGAGTGGGGTTGATCAGGGCTATGGGGAGAGAGTGGGGTTGATCGGGGCTATGGGGAGAGAGTGGGGTTGATCGGGGCTATGGGGAGAGAGTGGGGGAGTGGGGTTGATCGGGGCTATGGGGAGAGAGTGGGGGAGTGGGGTTGATCAGGGCTATGGGGAGAGAGCGGGGGAGTGGGGTTGATCAGGGCTATGGGAGAGAGTGGGGGAGTGGGGTTGATCAGGGCTATGGGGAGAGAGAGGGGGAGTGGGGTTGATCAGGGCTATGGGGAGAGAGCGGGGGAGTGGGGTTGATCAGGGCTATGGGGAGAGAGTGGGGTTGATCAGGGCTATGGGGAGAGAGTGGGGGAGTGGGGTTGATCGGGGCTATGGGGAGAGAGCGGGGGAGTGGGGTTGATCAGGGCTATGGGGAGAGAGCGGGGGAGTGGGGTTGATCGGGGCTATGGGGAGAGAGCGGGGGAGTGGGGTTGATCGGGGCTATGGGGAGAGAGCGGGGGAGTGGGGTTGAATTGGATAGCTCGATTTCTACGACACGATCGTCATCAGTTTTAAAAGGATGTAGCCATTGCTATTCATTTTATCTCCTTTGCTGAGATTAATAAACAATAAATAGCCGAAGTACTACTCTGAAATACAAAATTGCGCAGCTCGTTGGAATAGTTTGCTTACTGGTCATCTGCAAAGCAGAAGGGTAAACAGGAAAAACTAGACAGCCTTTTGTGCACGCTGTACAGTCTTGCTTTAGATTAAGAACCAGCCAGTTTCATGACTGTTTTACCAATATCACACGACACATAACACGTGCAAGTGATCCCCAGGATGGTGGAAGGCAAACTGGATTGGCCTTGGTCTTGTTTCACCATGTTCCTATGACAGCTTTGCCATGCTAACTGTGCTCTGTACATTCACCGCACAACGCTGATACATTTATTTTGTATTGTAAGTAGCTAAAATAATAAAAATGGTAATTTAGCAACTTCTACATTGTCGGTGGACATACACTTACAAGTAATGCTTTCCGATATGTTATGAATTTATATAATCCTATTAGGAGATATAAGAGGATTATATAAATTCATAACAGCAACACATTTGGTCTATTCATCAACAAATGATCCCATTCTCACCATCAACAAGGTAGAAACAACTGCCTTGTTAAGTAATGTGTGGTGATGCTCAGGACTGGGAGAACAGCAACACATCCAGGTTAGCAGAGGATGGAGAGGAAACTGGCCAAGCTTTGAAGCCATCTGGAAACCTAATGATCACATCGTGCCTTTAGGTTTCCAAGTCGTGTAGGGTCCAACGAGAAACCATCTGGAAAGCAGAGATCTATCAGTCTTCTCACAAGAGAACAGAGATGAAATTAGCTCAGTGGCGAGGACAAGCAGGTTGTTTGTCCTGGCAACCTTGTAATTCCGCAGTTCGATCTGCACTTTGCCATCTGTGCTCTCGGTACATCTCGTGTAGGAAACAAGTTTCTGTAACTGCAAAAGGGATTTTTTTTTTCACGATAAAGTTTATTGACAGTGTAGGTAATCTCCCCCACACCACTCCCCTCCCCCCCACACATAAATAAATATGTAAATAAATAAACAAACAAACAAATAAATAACTATACGAACAGTTTTAGTAAAGTCAAACTACTAGAGGGCAGCAAGCAATGACCATCACTATGACTCTGATATTACAATATATTAGTTGTGTCTTTGAGGTATGTGTTTCCACAGTGAAATTATCATACAGCAGTGAGTTACAGGGTAGTAATTCTGTCAAGTTGTTCTGACGGTATCATAAACCACGAGAGCAAAGATGAAGTCTATTCTATTACATACAGAATAATAGTTAGTTTGCAGTGTGTTACAGAGCTGTAATTCCATCCAACAGCAAGAATGATATCATAAACCACACGAGCAAAGCTTGAGTAATTTATGAATCCCACAAACTCACTTGACTGTTATCACCTTTAAACTCTCTGCCATGTCGCTAGTATTCCTTACAAATGCATGGATTTCTTCATCTGCGTCAAGTATAAATGGAAATAAAAAAATTATGTGTGATATTGTTTTAGAACATGCCATGAAATTACCCGATATTGCTTTGTGTGCCTCTGCCAGGTCCAACCGAGGCTCGGTTTGGACGGAACAGGCTGTGCAAATATAATGCAACATCCCTTTACACCTATCCTGGCTAATTACTACATGGCAAGACAGCTTTATCCAACAGTGACAGCTGCAGCTACAGCTTTAGGCAGGTTCCATGCAGCACAAGTTGCCC